CACACCTCGAGTACTGTGTCCAGTTTTGGGCCCCTCACTGCAAGAAAGACATTGAGGCCCTGGAGCGGGTTCAAAGAAGGGCAACAAAGCTGGTGAGGGGTCTGGAGCACAGGCTTTATGAGTAACAGCTGAGGGAGCTGGGATTGTTCAGTCTGGATAAGAGGAGGCTCAGAGGAGACCTTACTGCTCTCTATAACTACCTGAAGGGAGGTTGTAGTGAGCTGGGGATCATCCTCTTCTCTTGTGTAACTGGTGATAGGACCAGAGGGAATGGCCTCAAGTTGTGCCAAAGAAGATTCAGGCTAGACATTAGGAAATACTACTTTTCTGAAAGAGTGGTCAGGCACTGGAATGGGCTGCCTGGGGAGGTGGTGGAGTCACCGACCCTGGAGGTGTTCAAGGAACGTTTGGATTTTGTGTTGAGGGACGTGGTTTAGTGAGAACTGTTGGTGATGGCTGGACTAGATGATCTTGTAGGTCTATTTCAACCTTGGTGGTTCTATGATCATTATGCACCAAAGGTGAATGATAGAGAAAGCATTAGGAAAGAGTGCTTTCCATTCCTTGCCATTTGTCCTTCCTAAGGATACTCTGAATACATGCTTCTTTAGATCTTGAAACACAAAAATACCTATTTAATTTGATATTCTATAGGTCAGTGCTGCAGAACTGATAAAAAAGAAAAGTTCTTGAAAACAACAGCAAAGATGAACTCAAGTAGCTGGAATACTGAGGCAGAACCACATTCCAGCAGCCTGCCTCTGTTTCAATACGAAAAGTTTACAGATCCCCCCCACACCCAGCTCTAGCCTCCAAAGAAATAACTGCATACAGTATCCAGGGAACAGCTTTTCTTTAATGTTTTTGTATCAGTTGATATTTTGTCAGCTGAAGTCATCTGGTATTGAACTCTTATTATTAGATTTTGTCCTGGTAATCATCACAGCAAATTCAGTAACCTTTTATTCAACAAGATCTAGGCTACGTGTACACAGTATTACACTTGTGTCATAAAAAACAGGCACAAACATCACACTTCCACACAGCTGAGCCTTGTGAAGCCCCAAATCCCCATGCTGGCCATCTTCCCCTACATGAGCACAGATGCCTGCTCCTGCTGAGTGTCCTTTCTACAATGGAAATCACCTGGATTCTCTCCAGTAGAAACACACCAACTTGTTTTCCACTCAAACAGATTTAAATCCTTTCCACACATGCAGCAAACTTATTTACCAGAAGTCTCTTCTGATTTTAAGGAGACTATTTTCTAAAACTACAGCTAATAGCAGCACATAGTTGTGAGCAGAAAACATTCTTGGCTTATCAGGGCAACATCTTTTAAAAAGATACTGTCACTGCAATATTGCCACATTCTGGTTTTGATGTCACAGAAAACTTCTGCTAGGAAAGTGAGGAGTCTATTGAAAAAATGTTCTGTATCAAGAAACCCAGAAAAATGAGGATGAACAGTTTAGCCACCACTTGCAGTGCATCATACTTTTCATTTACAACACATCTGGTAACATTATTGTTTGTCAGCTTGATATCAGCTAGTTGTATGTACGTTATTTATCTCTCAGAATGTCTTGGAGGCAAGGTGTTTCACAGAAAGAAAGTATATACAGTTGCACAGTTTCTGAAAGCATCAATTTGGTCCACTTTTCCAGGTAACAACCACATACACATAAACAGGAGCTGAAATAGCTGAAATCACTTTCAGCTTCAAAATGGAGACAGGCAGATGTGACCGACTAAAATTAAGGGCTGCAGTAGGGTTTTGAAGGTCACAACACAACAAGGATCTCAGCGAGAAACTCCACACAGAAAACAAACACTTTCCAGAGCGCTTCTGCAAGCGGAGCCTTGTTTTTCACAGGCATGTTAAACATCCTGTTTTTCCAAAGTTAAGCCCTACAAAATTATTTGCCTGATACTGTGTTTTATTCCCAAGACTACACATCTGAGTTGCACTGCTATTTTATGACAGTCTAAATATATGAACAAAAAAATTCCCATGAAAGAAAACATTTTCATTTAACATCTTTAGGATACATAAAATACTATGGAGCAGCAAATCTGTGCTGTGTTAGCTGTCTTTGAGTGAGAGATGCAGGCATGACACAGGAAGGGGGCAGACAGGAGACTCAGACTGAAAGTAGTTGAAAGAGCAAGAGATGATGTATGGGTCAGATGTTGCCCTTTCTTATGACTTCCTCACAACTCTGTCTCCATTTGCCCTTCGTAGGGCAAAATTTCCAATCGTTTATCTGCCAATAAGCAGGTATATCTCATCTACCTGCAGCCTACCTAATATTTCCTAGTAATACAATACATCCACAAAATTAAAAAAAAAAAAAAAAGCAGAAGTTAGTACTTTATTACTTATCTTGGGGATAAACTCCAGAAAAAGCATGCAAGAAGATTAGGGAAAGAGCTGATATCAATGTTCTGAAAGAGACTGTGGTAATGCCAATAGGATGTTACTGGCTTTTGATTTTGTTTCAGGATCTAAAAAGACATTCCTCATCTCAAATGAAAGGCATGCCATCCTAAACAATGAGTTCTCATTCTAAATTGGGAAAAGAAAAAAAAAAAAGGGATCATAATCACTCCTGGTCTGTGAAGAGTTCAAAGCACTTCAGAAAGCTCTCTACAAATTTCCATCCACAAACAAGAAGAGACAAAAAACAGCCAAATACAGCAAACATAAAAGAAGAGATAAACTACAGACATCTCACAAGCCTCGTCTCCGCTACAGGCTGCCAGTATGCCAAAGTTAACATCAATGGTCCCAGTCATGAGAATATTTTTGCTGAAGAGTGAAACCTGGAGGAGAGCTCAATCCTTTACACTGCACATGAGACACAACTTGGGAAACACCAGGAGGGAACAGAGGCACTACCAGGAAATGCTGCAGGGTGGTAAATGTCGAGTCAATGCAGCAATGTATATGAACCATTGGCTGCAGAGGCTTCTTCATTTATACCCGTTTTCTTCTTTTTTTTGTAGCTTTTAGAAAAATTACATTTCTCCTCCCCTCAGTTCATGCCAAAGAAACCCATGGGCACAGCAGTAGTAGTAGACTCTGTAGTCTTTTGGAATTATTGAAGCATGAGAAAAACAGAAAGTAAGACATATCAAACTTTTCCACAAGCAGACAAAATACTACTGTAAGAGATTCTCATTCAAATAAAACAGGAAGAATTTAATCAAGTAGTCACGGGTAATCTGAAGAGATTTGTACTTCTAGAGATATGTTCTCTTCTCACTTCTGACAACACCTGCAACCTCTCTGCAATTCCCTGCCTCCAAGGAACTGCCTATCATTACAGGAGTGCCACAGAACTCCAGGTCCCTGAAAACTGGAGTAGACTACCGTAGAATCATAATCACGTCATGGATTTCAGTTTTCATTCCCAGTTTGCATTGCAAAATGAGTGATTGCTCAGACGTTAGTAAATTCAGTCTTTACCTGACTTTCCTCGTGGTCTTTTCCATTTTCTAACTTTGAGACAGGCTTAGGTTTTCTTAGCTTTAAGTTGCCCATGTCAGGCTTCAAAGCCTGCTCCTTCTGCTGCTGAGTATCTTGCAAAGGCGGCCACCTTTCTTCTAAGATAGCTGTGTTGTCTGGATAATTTTCTTTGTTATCATCATCTCTGTAAGAGAATTAAAATGAAATCCGTTAGACAGGACTTCAGACACCTGTCAAAACATTATGAAGAACAGCAACAAGAACTTAGCTATTCATGGTGGTTTAATTTTATGAAGCTGTTATCTACACACCAAACAAACACTGCATATGTTAGTAAAATGATTATAAGAGGCTACTGTTTATTGAATATTCAGAAGCTAAACTGCCATTCATATTGTTACCTGTTCGGTTAGGGAGCCATTTCAATAAGACTAGTTTTGGAGGCACTCTTTGCCCTCAGTGCTGCATTTCATACTCCCCAAATAAGTCCTGAAACTTGTTCATGCAGCAGATCCCTCCCTGTCCAATGCTTCACGCTGATTTATAATCCCACATAAATGATGGTATGTAGAGTAATTTCTCCCTACAGACACACTTCCCTTCTGACAATTTCTTTCTAACATTTTGAGGGCTTTTACAGAAAGCGAGGAAGGTTACACACAAAGTAGGATCTGAACAACAGGGGAGATGTTTGGATAGAAGGAATATTTAACATGTGCTACCAGTTTGCAGTCCCCCTTCTGCTGGTTTAAATAGATGTTGTTCATGGATATTCTGGAAATCACTGAACTTTGCCTACTCTACAGGGTGAAAACCTGCCCTGAAGACGACCTTTCTGTCCTTATCTGCACCCATCCAACCCAATCTTTGGCAGATTAATGTATTCCCTGAGGGATGCAAGACTGCCTGTGCAGCTGGCAGGATAAGCAGATGGGCACTACTGCTTTGAAGTCCCCAGCTGCTGCTTAGTTTATTGGGGAAATCTAGATATTAACTTTAGCTGGTCAAATAAGGGTTAACTGAGAAATTATCTCTTTCCTGGTGTGCACCTAACACAACCAAGGGATTCTAGGGGATACTGAATTAAAATGCCCTTAGGGTTTGTTTTGTTTTTTTTTTTAAGAAATGCTATCTTGCTAATACAACATTTTAACCTAAGGACTCTGAGCTGCCAAACTCACTTTCCATCTGTGACCCAACAGCCTCCAGATGGATGCTTGCAGGGTGTTTACAGACTTAAAACCATTGCTGCCCACGCTTTCTGCAAGTGTCCTCCAAGGCAGTTGTTACAGGGTAGGCTGCTTTATATCCTATGGGCATTCCAACAATGTAAAGTGTTGCTAAATTTAAGGTATTGTCTGATTCAAAGAATGTTTCCAAAAGGTTGCATCATCTAGCAATTAACAGATGGGCACAGCGATGAGAGACTCATATGTCAAGAATACTTCAATTAAATTAGTCTGAAGGATTTTTTTTCCCCCCACAAGAACTCTTCAATGTGTATATCCTTGCACAGTTACACAGCTCCACTTATTATTGCTTTGTATCTGGTGCTGTACAGAAGAATTCAATGTAATAGCATCAGAGCTGCACCTGAATGAAACTAATTGTGATTTTAAGTTAAGAAACATAGAACATAATATAATTATTTATACAAAAATATTTAATTCTTATACTGCTTACACATAAATATCTACAACAAAAATGCACTTCCCAAAGGTAGTAATAGTTACAGCAGGTAATACCTTAGAGGTTATGCATTCTCTTGGTAATAAAGCTTTCTTTCTAACAATTTAAAAAATGCACTCTGGCGATTTTACTTGTTGCCAGTGTATTTCAGACAAAATTTGCAGTAGAATACCTGGGGCTGGAACTGGCTGCGTGAGCTCCACAAACAGAATCTGAATCCTCATCACACCTTGGAAATGGACACAAAATAATTGCTGATAAATAATTTCTGCTACTGCAGAAATTTAGCTTTCAATAATCATGACCGTGCAGCTCAAACTAAGCATAAACACATTTCATTTTCTCACACCTTGGCTGGTTTCTTTTAATTCCACAGCTTCTCCACAGATCTAAATCTCTAAGTCTCAATCTCAGAGGAAGAAAAGGATTTGAAATGTTGAATGTACACAGTTTTTTCAGCCAGTTGAAAGTAACGATGAAAAAGAATTCAAAAGTTACTGGGAAAATTACAAGAAAGTCTGAGTTCGAATTTCTTAAAATATACTTCATGTAACACAATAATAATTAGAGACGATTTCTCCCAGACTCACAAAAACATTAGCCACAGTACAGCAGTCATTCCTTGTGCTCTGAGCAGCAGGGAATGGAATCCCCACATAAACTACAAAATGATCATTAATCTTTAAAAGGGAACTGTCAGAATTTTTTAAAATGCATGAAAAATTATAATCAATTCCATCCCATTAGGTAAAACACAGCACAATTGCCCTAGGACTGCATAATCAAACAGAGAATTTCTACATGTATATGCAAAATACTGGTGATGAGCAGTATACTGGGCACTAACTTTAAAGAATTAAACAACTGCAAAGCCAAAAAACAATTTTTCTTCAAATAAATATACATGTATTTGCACAGACTCCCAACAAATAAGTACATACCCTTCCCAGGTATTATTTCTGGGGAGAAGTTGGGGCCCTCTCCTCACCCTCTGTTCATACTCACAGGGTGCAGGCACTAAGTAGGCCTGGATCACTGGAAGTCAGCTGGCAGAAGAATCTCTTCATTACGGGAGAAGCAGGCTGTACTTCTGCTGACTTCTTAAATTTTTAGAAGAGCTGCCCAGCTTAGGACAGAGCACATTAAGTGATAATTTCATAGCTCTGCATTGCAATTTGAAGTCAAGATTTTTAATATATTCCTCTTCCCCACCAGTCTTCTGCCTGTTTTTGTCAAAAGCCTGACTGCTGCAGAAATTATTTAAAGGGACACTCAAGTGTTCACACTTCCTGAATAGATCAGCATTTGGATGAAAGCATTTGCTGCATGCAACTGGAATACATACCTACAGTTGCATGTTCCACCTAATCACAAAATATTCCTGCAGTGGGTGCAGTTATCCCCTTCCCTCTGGAAGGATGGTGGGCAACTGAACACAGCTAAGTCCATGTGTGCATATTTGTGTGAATACTTCTTAACTTGGACAAGTATGCCAAGGGATCACCTGCTCTCAGCTGTCTGTAATAAGGGTGAGCTGGAGAAGCAGAAAGCCTAAGTAAGCATCTAGTACAGTCATAAATGAAGACAAGTTACAAATACTCCAACTGAGCATGACAAAATGTATTTGACTCACAAGATACCAGTAGATAGAAAAGATTGGCGCTAATAAATCAGACAAGACAGTGGCCATCATGCAATGAAAAAGATTGTGGGGAAGTTCAGAAGCACCAAATCTGAAAGGGTGAATAGATTTTTTTCTATCAGCAAGGATAAATATTAACTGACAAAACTCACACAAGACACTGCTTAAGGCCAAGACCATAGTAGGACTTTTAAAAAGATGAATTTGTGATATAATGAAAATGGTCACCATGAAAGCATAGAGTGTTTTCACTTTGGTTTCATTAAGAAATGGAGCTTATGTGTTCTTGACACCAGTTTGCGCATATGAGCACACACATGTTCACCCTCCTCTCCTTCCATTTCTAAACCTCACTGTGCAACTTCACCTGTCTTTAACAGCTAGAGGGATATGCAAGAGTTTGATGTATTTTTTTAAAAGCTTGTGGCCATGTGGACTAGATGTCATCAACAGAAAAACTGCAGCAGCATCTTACTCAATCCTGAAACATAAAGTATACACACGAACAGCTTCAAGGCATAAAACTACAGGGGTTGAAGCTTACAATGGGCAGGACGTTGGCCACTGACATAAAGACTGGCATCCCAATCTACACAAGACTTTGCTCTGTCTCCCTAGCAGTGCCTCTGTATTCCAGACACGGTTTAGTGGGAATGTCTTTTTAATTTTTTTTCCATTTTCACCTTTCAATAGCAACCACTTCAGTACAGCTGGAAAACTGCTTCCTTTAGCAATCTTGACCTTTAAGATGTTCTTGTGAACAATTTCTCCATCGGCCTGCATGCATGGCTTGCTGGGAACACAGCAGCCCCAGGCACTTGCCTTATCTGGAGATACGTTCCTGAAAGTATTGTTTCACTGGTTTTATACCATCCAGCCTTCAACATAAGCAAAGTCAAATAGGAATGCCTACCATTGCATGGCAAGCTCTCTCTTTATTCTGCTAAATAGAAGAAATCTATTTTCAGATATGGTCACAGCACAAACAGTGAGTGCTGAAGTCTGTAACAATTGTGTGTTCTCAGCAGATCTCAAAAACAGGCTTTGGGGCAGGCTTTAAACAGGATCTAGGGAAATCAGCTTTGGAAACCAAGTTGGACAGTGTTCTTTGAATGATGTTTGTCTGCTTTGTTTTCTAAAAGCATGTTTCTACTTCTATGTTTGGTAAGATAAGATTATGAATTAAAGGCCCTGGAACAAAACCAACAACAGCTTAAATGAAGAGATTCAGCCTTCAGACAACAGCCCTGCTCTGCCACACTGCTGCCTCTCTGCTCCACACAGCACTGCCTGCACCCCTTTCCCCTCCCAGGGGATGCCACACACTCAGCCTTTCTGCCCTTGTCTTTATGATCACACAAAGCTCCGATGAGCAAAACCACCACATTCATGTCCCAGAAAACCTCAAGGGTGAGGCAGGCAGCACCAGGCCATGCCAGGGGAATCTCTGTGGGAAACACAGATGGATGTCAGGGGACAGTGCAAAGGAAAGGAGACAAAAAATGTATATATGTGTATATATATATATACAGTACCTGAAATTTGGATATTCTTCTATGAATTTTACATACCACAGTTCATCACTTAAATAATAGGGACACGTGGAAACAATTCAAAATGATTTGATGATTTATTATCCCCCATTAAATCTTCCCATATTTACCCAATCACACAGAAAGAGCAAGTAATGTAAAATATCAAATAAAGCAAGACAAAGAATGTAGGAGAGAAAAATTATTTAGACCTCCTCAATAAATGTTTCTTACCTTTTCCTTTAGTGATTTTGACAGTACTGAGTGATAGCTCAAACTAGATTACAGCTTGGCCTGCTTTTAGAATGCATCCCCATGACACTTAAGCACACAGATCGCAGTCCAGTTAGGGCTTTTTAAATTATGGGCATTTTAGCAGTGTAAAACTCATCTAATATACAACAGATCTACAAATCACTTCCTTCCTAAGATACTGCTTAGTACATTACTGCTAAAGAGTCTTCCCTAAAAGCTTTTGAAACAATCAAAAGCATGCAAAATAACACAGAGAATATCTAAATTAAAGTGTTTTAAACTGGAATTTAAAAAGATCATTTCATTTGTAATCCTCTCTGGAGACTTTGCCTTTGTAACTTTCTAATGTCCTCACCTTCTTCTGTTGTCTCTTTATAACAGCAACAAAATCAATGCATATATCCTTATGATCACAATAAAGATGAGAACCTTTTCAGTGATTTTATGGAAATAATTACAAAGGAACAATCCGTTTGGTGCCTGGTCTGTCTAAATGATGCTTTTGTGTTTGTTGTCTTTTTTTTTTTTTTAATATTTTTAAAGAATTGCTTTTCCTACTCACACATGCAGGAAATACAGAGCATGCGTTCTGACACACTTGTGTTTGTCAAGATCATCAGTACCAGAAATGAGCAATACATTCACAGGAGATTTATCCTACACTGAAATCATGCATTTAAACATTTATGATGTACATCAAATTTATATCCTCCCAGAAAAGTACTTTACTTCTAAATGGTCTCACAAAATGTAAAGGCAGCTGTTTTATGCAATTTTTTTCAGAGTCTCAATAATATACTTAGATTAAGAAAAACCTGAATCAAAATATATGACAGAAAGCTGGGGACCTCTCAGAGTACTTACAATTATTTTCTACCACTCTTATTTAAAAATAAGGCACATCTTTAAAGTGTTGACTTACTCTGCTAAAGCTGTGGTGTTGAAGGATTTATCCTGAATGCTGAAACAGAAACAAGAAAACATCAGACAAGTCAGCAAGGCAGGCAGGCTCCTTGTTTCCTTCTCAGTTGTAGAAACACATGCACAAACATGGCATTGCAAGGCAAGTCTGTGTGTGTGTTAGCTCTACATGCGCGACTGTACCTTCGGCTGCTCTGCACATGCTCATAATCGAGGAACCACAGGGATTAGCCCTACAACACTTACAAACATCCAGCAGTGCTTTGAATAAATATGAGGATGCAGGTAGCCTGTGAGGCTCAGAAAAGGATCATATTCTCTTACAACAGTAACGCTGCTGCTAATAAAAGCCATGGGTTTACAAAAAATATTTGGCACTCTGTTCTTTAAATGATTGCAATTGGCTAATCAAACACAGTGTTATTTTTATTTACTGAAATAAGACTGTTAAAATATCTGGAGGTTTTTTTCTTCTCATTTGGAAGTCCTTTATACACTCAGCTCCTAGTCAGACCCCAGGGAAACAATAAAAAACAATCTGGGAGAAAGGGCAGTTCAAGTAGCAAAAGGTTATTAAGCAAACAGCAAGGAATAGATGAAACCATTTCTAAGAAAGGAATAGGCTGCTGCTCTCCTGCAGCAAAATTTTTCAGACTTGATGTAATATGTTCAGGAAGGGTCAGCTCAGGATACAGCAAATGGCTGGTTTTGAGGCAGCGGTGGAATTCCCCCTTAAACAACACCTCTCAAATCCAGTCGGAAGGGTTGGAACATTCTGAAATCTTAGCAGCAGAAAACAAACAAAATCCATTCTCACTGAGACATATTAGAGCTGGGAGGAGGAGGAGAGGGTAATGCAGACAACAGCATCTTATGAGCACTCCTATTTGTGACAACGGCAGCACAGAGCCCCCAGCAGCATGTGGAGCAGGAACACAGAGAGGTGCTGCATCCCCTCCCCACAGCAGCTCACATCACATCAGCAGCAGCTATGACCACAGAAGTGACAATTTCCCTTCTCCTCCAAACAGTGCTGGCTGTGTGCCTTATCTTCATCTCTTCGCAGCCTCTCTACCTGCTTGCACAATGTGTTTGCTCTTTTCTATATTTGTAAATATAGCAATTTATTTCACGGCACAAATTGTCTGGGGATCAGTCTGTACGGACTTCTGCCATACAAAGAAACAGACTTTGTGAGAGGAGATGAATAGAAAAAATGAAGGAGGAATCGCAGCTTTTAATCACAACATCACGTTAACAAGCATCAAAGATTGATTAGGGTAGATCTTAAAGAGACACTACACATTTATTCCCATTCCCCTTCCTACACGCACACAAGAAGGAGAGGGAAAACAGAATGATCTTGTGAACATAACTTCTCCGTTTCTTAGTGTTAAGATCAAATTCGCTGCTAATTCAGCCCCTGTGCAAACATATTGCAGTGCCTTTTTATTACCAGTAACAGAACGTGACTGAAGACCACTTTGTAAAACAGAAATGCTTCAAACTGAAACCAAGTTTAAAATGTCATCTCTTACACTGTTTGTATGAACTTCGGCGTTACTAAATCTCTTCTAGTCAAGCTCTTTACGTTTATGTCAGGCTCCTCACAGACTTCCATTTATTTCAGAGATGATGCTCTACCAGTGTTATGGGATAGTCTTTTCCTCCAAGAATGTGAAATCATTTGGAAAAAAAGAAAAACAAAACAAAGCCAAGCCAAAACAACAGTTTCACATAAAACAGAATAACATCAATAAATATATGAAAATAGAGGCCAGCTAAAACTGGGGTCCTGTTTCAGAGCTAATCTTCCCATCAGACAGATGAAGCCAACCTTCCACTGGGGGAACCCAAGGGAGAGAGCTACAGTAGACCCACAATATCTCTACATCCTTTCTTTTACTCCCAGAAGGAAGAAATTTCTCTTGAAAGTGAAAAGCACCTTTCACAGATGATGTTGGCTAGGGCCTATGGCTACCTCCCATCCTTTCACATGTTTCCCATGTGCTCGGGGTGAGACTATACACTGTATAACGAGCCAGCACCAAACACGCTTGAACTTGTGTCTTTTCCCTCTGTGCTCCAAGTGAAAATATATAGGGAAAGCACAATATGGCTGTTACCTCCTTGTTTTCAGCAGTCAAGCTAAAGTCAGTGAGGCCTGAAATGCTATAAAATGCCATTCTTCAACATACTGGAAGTTACTGTGCCAGATATACTTTGTCGGCACTTTCAGATGATGTTTCAGTTTTTTCATCATCCTAAAATCCTGAGGAAAATAATTATGCGCTTGTATGTAAAGTAAGCTATACTTCAGTAAAGTAAGGCATGCATTTAAGTGCCTTACATTTTGAAGTAATTAGAATACAACTTTTTGTCCTTAAAATAAAGGCTTTCATATGAGTTTCTCCTCTTTTTTTTTTTTTTTTTTTTTTTTTTGTGTTGAGCAGTTTAAAGACTCGTATTTTTTCTATTCTGTATTTATGGAAAAACAATTCCTTGTTTAAAAGTACATAGTTTTGTTTTCACCATCCCATATGCCAGCTCTCGGCTGATATCAAGAATGCTAGAAAACTCCAAACTAAAAAGTCTCCATATATTTCGGAGATATCAGGATTCCAAAATATGTTGCTGTTCATTTCTTAAAAGTTGAGTAATATATGGTCTTTTTATGGATGACAAGTAGATCAGTATAGAAATTCCATTCTTCCTGTTTTGTTTTCTCACCAAGAATTACTGCTAACTCAGGAAGAAGAGTGAGATGGGAGTCACTTGGTCTCCAGCTCAGTTTTGCATGTAATAAAGGCATGCTCAGTACAAATGATGCATTCATAAGTTCAGAACAGATTAGTTGGCATTATAAACATGTTATCAGCCAATGAATTCTATGTAACGATGGTATGGTCTAGTTGCAGAAGACTATGAAAGAAGAGAGAGGTAGTGAGACATTTTGAATGTGACCATATAGGCAGAGGCCACACTGTAATTTACTTGAAAAAGCAGTTATGGCTACAGGTGAACAGAATGGAGAACAATCAAGACCAAAAGGCCAGACAAGAAGGAGACATGGTGAAACTTGTTAATCTGCAGTTGCCTAAATGCTCACCTACCTGCAGACTTTGTGGCAGCTTGGTTTCACCTGTGCAGCAGAATCTTAGCCACAATTTCTAGACTTCGCTCATCTGAGTAAATGTCTGTTCTCCTAAGATTTCTGACACAAGTAAATGATGAGACCTTTCAACCTTAAGCACTGAATCATGAAGAATTTGTGCTGGGAACTAACCTGAATGTTTAGAGGGGAAATTACTGGTTCACAAAGAATTTTCACTTCTCTAATGTTCTGGGAAGTTAGTACTTTTGTATTTAACATATATCATCTGCTAATGACAAATTCAGTGCAATCCTATAGTGTGAGTATGGCATTTACTGTGAGACTTTTTTCTTGATTATTACTTTATTTGCTATTCCACAGTGTACAGAGCAGTTGTGCTGAAATGGCTGCACCAGAGACAATTGTGTTTCACATTATGGTTATGCCATATGAGGGAGCTGCACTAGATGGTGCAGTGGAGGGACACGAGAGACGCAGTGTGAAATGCTGTGCATGGCAAGGAGACCGCATTGGCTCCCTCTTGTCTGGGAAGACATTACTCATGTTCCATTTCCCAAATAAAGGGAAAGTTGGAATGAGCTCTCCCCTACTGCCTCTCTGGATTAAGTCATCTCTGCCAGAACCAGCTGAGCTCAGAGACTCATAAAAATATTGAGCAAATTTGTTTGCCTTCGAGTACGTGTGTTCCTGCCAAGTAGCAATGCCCTGAAGTGCTCCTACAGTCCATTATCTCTCTCTCAAATTGTAGCTGAACGCAGATGCACTCAGTCCTAACTGTGCACGTATATAGCATATTCTCTTATAGATGAAATACATTCAAACCCACCAAGAGCAGGTTAAATGCATTTGCGTGTCAGGTTGATCTGCTACTTCTGAGGTCAACTGAACACTTTTATTTAGGCAGAAAACAAATGGATGGGCTCTGCAGTCACTCCTCTCCACCTTCATCAAGTCTGTTCTCTTCTAACGCACCAGATTTTTATGGGCTAAGAGCAAGGATCATTCTGCAGCACAAGGTTAGCACAGTGGATCATTGCAGTGTGTTGTCCTGTCTTCAAAAGGGTTCCTGCAGGATACTTCTGCTATTCTCTGATCACGAAGGCATAAACAGAGGAGCTGTTAACTGAGAGAGAAGTCACATTTTTTTTTTTTTATATGATAAATGCCAAATGCTTCACCCAAGCAGCTCAAAATACTCAAGTGTTCTATGACTTGTTTGCCTGACACGCAGCCTGCCTTTTTATGGGTAACACTATCAGATATATCAAAAAACTGCTTAAGACAAATTAAACTAAAATACTGCAGTTACATGCAGGTTCGTGAACACTCAACCCAGTTTCTGTATCTTTGATTTTCTCAGTGACCTAATTAGCACATCATCTGAGTTAACGGACTTGGGGGAAAAGGAGGCGTTCAGCTGATCCTGCTGTATATCTTAAAATGCACAGACATGCTCATGCAGAAAGAGACTCCAGCTGAGCATAGGTGCAGGCACAGCTGTTGTAATCCATTCCAGGGCAATTCTATAAGGTATGTTGTATTGGATAATTGCACAGACATTCAGGGCCATATTTGCCGAAGACATGTTAGTGAGCAAGTAAGCTGCACAGTACTTCCTTGCTCAAGCCTCCTCAGCAGCGTGCCCATAAATTCTTTTCATACTCCCACAGTGTGTCCAGGTTTGCACTGAGGGAGATATGCCTACTCTTGTCCAAAAGGCGCAGCCACACACCAATCAAAAAGGAAAAATATAACGGAAATGCACAATTTTTTGCAGACTGGAAATTCTGACTTGTGAGCCACTTAGTCCCCTTAGGTTCCACTGCTCAGGTTGCATACACTGCTGTGCTACTGGTGCCATGGCCAGTTAGCAAAAGCAAATATCACACAAGTCTGTAGACTAGATTTTGCTGTTATTTTATTTTGGAAACACAGAACTACACCTTAAATCTCATTATTAAAGAACAAGTGCCTTTGTGAAGTTCATTCTGCTCTGCAAGCAGTCTCTGTAGAATCCCAAGAATCATTACCCAGCATGCACTAAGCTGC